CCCTTAAATTTCTTAAAGTAGAAGTGAATTGAAATGATATCACCTAAGGTGAATCACAAACCTACTCCAACAAGTGTATTGTACTGAAACTGAAATAAATAACAGACACCTAAGTTGATAAAGAAACTATACATAGTACTGGCAAAATAAAAAAAAATGTTAAAACTTTGTGGTGCAGCCCTCTGTATTATGGTGAGCAGTAATATGCTTACATGTTGTGAAGATAAAATCAGTAATCCTAGCCCGTGGGATTACAACCCATTCCTAGTAGAAAATCTGTATTAGTGGAATCTTAGAAAACTGGGTTACTAGGATGCATTCACAGGATAGCCTAAAACTACTCAAAATAATCCATTTTCCAGGCAATGTCAGAGTTATGATACCTTCTCTATTTTTCTCAAGTAGTATTTATTTACTTATGCCAAGTCTCTTGTATTTCATATTTATGTTAAATTTCAAATTAACACTACTTTTATTGAAAATAATAAAAGCATATTTGCATTAACAAATAATAAATCAGCTATTTATTTTTTAGTTATAAATAACCATAACCAGTGGGTGTTGAATAATTCAAAATTTAACAGAAGTTTCAGATACTGCTACAAAATACAGGTTTTTTGGCAGTACAATTCAGCAAGATGCTTTAATGATAAACACAGTGAATATATTTCTATGAATAGAAAACATTTTTTTTAAAACAACCATGCCCATACAAATATTCCACAGAATGTAACTATATATTTGTATAGTAATGAAGTAGTTGTGTATTTATCTAACTGCATTTATATGGTAGTGTAGTAGATGCATACTTTAACCCTATTAGGCCTAGTTAGCACCTTTAATATGTTAACACGTGCATATCAGATTTTCAAAATAATAAAAAAAAAACTTCTAATTTTATGTCCTACACTTTTTCACTCAAAAATATTTTAGAATTGTTATTTTATCATTTTGTAACATTTATTTAGTGTAATACATAAATAAAAAAAAGGTTCAAACTTACATTTTGACTCCAAGGAGTCTCACTTAAAAAAAAGCACACTTATCAATTGTTTAGAATTTTTCTGCCCTTCCCATAGCATAGGTTTATATTTGCTAGAAACTATCATTCCTTGAGAATGTAAATATCCATGCATTATTTTCCTTCTCTTTTACTGATTTTATTAGTACATCCTCTCGTTTCCA